TATCTATATACTGGATATGATTGACTCGATATATTTACTCTGGCATAAAGGACTCGGTAGAGTGCAATGGTGAAAATTAATCAGGAGCTAGGCAACGGGTAGGCTTTCATCCTGGACCGTCAAAACCTCATTTCTGAAATTCGACAGCTGATGAAATACTTCCTCTAATTTCAACTTTTGAGGCCCTTCGAGTGGAATGAAAGCATTCTGTCCAAAGTCTGTCCAATAACTATTGATCTGGCATGATCCTCAACATTTGAAACGAAGGAATTAATTCAATGACAGTCAATTTTTTGGGATCAAATCACAAAGTAAGCTGCATGGAACAGAAGCTATCACAACTCCAAAGGTGTCCACAAGATTCTTATCCGGATGAACATCGTTAGGCTTTGAATCAGAACTCTCCAATGACTGCCTTACCTTCTTAACGTCTGAAGCCTTTTTGGACGCCTCAGGAGTGCCGACAGGACTTGCTGAACGCCCTTTCGTTATGGTGGGGCGAGTGGAAGCCGAAGGTTCCAAGCAGAAACTAGAGAACTTCTCTTTTGCCTAAAACGTAACCATTAAACACTTCCATATTACAAGTTTCTGATGTTCAAGTAACCTTATCGAAAGCTGGATTAGATCGTTTCCTGGGCATATCTGGTGATGTGCTACCAGGAGATATGGAAGACGGTGACGGAATGGAAGCCGAGGATTGCGATGGTGTCGGCGACGCCCTTTCAGATGTCGGACTCTTGCTTCTGAAACAATCATCATTTGCAAGACAAAAAAGATAAATGAAGCTCAGTGAACTCACCGGAAAGTCTCAGGTATGTTCACCTTATTAAACGTATAGGGTCCAGCAATGGAAGTTTTCGGCGAAGGGGGAATTTCGTTGATGGAGGGAGGTTGAGTTTTAGGCAGCGGTGGAGGGTTGTCGGTCCTGAAGATAACTAGGTAGGGTTTCCAAGGCAGATCAAGAGCCATAGGAGGAAATTTAGGTAGCAATCAAATAAGGCAGCGTTCAGACTTGCAATGACGCGCGTCGACGCGCTTCAACTGCAACAGCGCTCCAAAGCTATAGACGCGAGCGCAGTCGCAAACGACTGATCCCCATCGAACTAGTCTGTGTGACTAGGCCACATCTACCATCCTACCCCTCAGCGCATTACAGCGCGTCGCTGCGCTTCATCGCAAAGTCTGAACACTGCCCGAAAGAGTAGGAAAGAACTTTTCCAATGAGAGTGAATCAACAGAGTGAGAGCTGAAAGACTTGTGAGCCTTGATTTATTGTTTCACTTGAAGTATGCCTTTGTAAGTGATACTTACCTCACTCGGATCTCTTCGCCTACAGACTTACGCGTTGATCGAGTCGTTGGCGGAGGTTCAGGAACGGCGACGGGTTCCCGAGGTACAGGACTCTGAGTTCTGGCACGCTCAATCGACGGTTCGTACAGGTTTGTAGTACTGCGGCTTCGTACTTCAGAATGTGCTCGTTCATTTCTATCCAACGGCACATTCACTGAATTGTAGACATAGAAAATTACTAGGACAAACACAAGAGGTGGTCAAATCAAGGTACATCCGATGAGGAAAATCGGTGGCTTGGCACTACACCACCACTGTTTGAAGTGCACCCCCTTTAGGCTGTGTTCATACTTTGCGGCAGCGTCCACCAGCGACTACGAGTTCCAAGCGTCCGGCAGCGTTAGCGACTAGGAAAGTACAAACATCGATACCAGCAGCGATCAGCAGCGTCCAGAAGTGGAGAGCGAAAGGGGAGTAGCAGACAGCTGGTAGAGCATGGGGAGATAGAAGGGTGCTGCTGGTAGAGTAAGGGGTTATAGCGGGTACCAGCTGTCTGCTCATCTCCTATCGCCCAACGCTCTCCACTCCTGGACGCTGATGGTAGCTGGTAGACGCTGGTAGACGCGTATACGCTGCTAGTCGCTATATCGATATCTACTTCTTGCTAGTGGCTGACGCTGCCGGACGTTCGGAACGCTAGTGGTCGCCGGTGAACGCTTGGTCGCTGTTGCACGCTGCCACAATGTATGAACGCAGCTATACATCCGAAAGTCTAACTTCGAATACATCTCCTAATTGCCCTGCTATCTACCACCTAGCGACCCAAAGGCAGTTGGCCAGCGACAATCCCCCAAGTACGAGTACGATTAGCTACCTGGCAGGACGGAATTCCGCGACCCTGAGCAGCGCTGCATAATGCCTTTTCCAAGGAAGGTGCCCTTATGAGGGCCCTATCAAGCCACAACATACCGACCCAAACGCCCGCCCGCCCACAAATGGACGACCGTTCCTGACGCTCTAATCGATTCATTTGCTAAGCAAATTATGAAGCGAAGGATGAAACTGTCGTGATGCTGCATAGATGATACACATGTGAGCCCGTCCCTCCGGTAGCGCGTTATTGTAAAGATGCCTACATGCACTCGTCATATTGGTTTCTGATGGCAGGTTCAGACTGTCGCGACTGCAGCGGCATGGATCACGCGTTTCGATCGGCGATCGATTGCAGTAGAAACATGCGCAGTTGATCGCGCGAACGCGCCGGCCGAAGCGCTAGCCATCGCGTAAGTCTAACGACTGCCTGACATCATTGAGAACGGAGGCCTCGTTTGGCCAGGACTTTGGCCGCTTCCACCTCGTTGCTTTTCGCCATTTCCACTGCTACAGCCGCCCTAACATCTATAGACCGAGGCGCCGATCATTGTGCCAACTCCTTCAAGATAGTCAGACCCATTTACGACCCCTTGTGCAAACTGTTAACCTCTTATGACTTCGTGGTTCACATTTCAGTGACAACGCTCTTCTCTTTTCTCGAAGATTCATTCTATGCGCCTTCCCCTACGATTTTCCATATCTGCGCCCTCCTCGAGTGCCCCGTGAGTCGTTCTATGAACTCCTCAGTTAGCATGTTCCTCTTTCCCTGATGCCATTTCGGTCCTCCTATTCTTCAATTCAAATATCAGTCTCTATTAAAGGCAAGCCCGCGATCAGTTGCCATCTTAGATAGTGAATTTGGGCTTCGCATAAAGAGGACAAGGTTCAGAGTAACTCAATAGTGAAGAAAAAAGCAGAAAAAACATGCCCAATGTCCTAAATAGGACCCCATTACAATCCTGGTTTGTACGTGCATGCGATGGGGAAACAGCGCTTATGGACGAGCGTTCCACGTTATTGGCTCGCTGCCAGAAGTAGGTGTGGCGCCACGTATGAAAGACTGACCTTTAATATTCTTATTTTTTCAGTGAACTCATCGCATCATAATGTTTCTTTGTTGTTTTTGAAGTGGTGTTTTGCTTTTCAATTCCAAAATGATGCTATTTTCTCCAACTTTTCGTGCACTTTGCAATACATACTTTTTGCAATACATTTCCAGTTGTACCCCTTTGTGCGCTCAGCTGACCCAATACAACCCTACGTCCGTACAAATAACGAAGGGCTCAAATGTTCATGCTTTTCTCGTCGTCCAAAAACTTGGTTTCTCACTAAAGGGCGGCGCTTGGGAGGCGGAGTCACTGGAAAAAAGGAGGAACCACTGGATCTATTCTGCCTTATAGCGCCCCTCCCCTGCACTTTTTTCCGCGAAAACGGTACAGGGTTGTTCGTCGCGGACCGCACTACCCTCCCCACACCATATTTTCAACTTCGATACCTGGTCGCGGACCGTTTCTTTAAGTATACTCATTTATAAGGATTTCTCAATAAATGCAACAAATGGCGAAATACACAAACCTCTTGTAGGTTGCCTGAGTCCTCCAGTTTCAACGGGGGCCCATTTCGATGGGGTTTTCGGTTTGTTAATGCCACCGGCATTATTGTTCACCTGCAACGTAAGAACACTGTGCTTCAAACCATTTAATAAGATTTTCTGGAATGATGCTGGAAGAGCAATTAAATTCTTCTATCCTGTGTCGAAACAGGTTCGGCTTCACAATGCATGTCTACCTTGAAGACACCTTTGGCGATTGCAAATTGCCGGTAGTGGGGTATAAAAACGAACGTGTACGGCCTGGACGAGTTACCATTGAAAAGTACACAAAGGAAGTGGTTGCAAAGGCCTCTATTAACTAGCAATTTCGAGTATGGTATGAGCATACGGTAAAAAGAGGACTTCTTCTGATGAGATCTTGTTTTTAATTCTATTGGTGTCTTTTCCCCTATTTAGCCATTTCCTACGTTGGGATCCTTACCATTTCCCATCTTTTCGCAGTAAATTTAATCTTCGACACTATCATCACGGTCCTTGGACAACGTGGGCGGTCATAAACCTGTTGCTTGGGCCTGAGTTGTAAACCTGTTGCTTGCCTTATGCGCACTTTAAGCAGCAAAAAGGAAGCAATTCTGTAGGTAGAGCCTGTTCGTCCCAGATGATAACCATCACATTGACTATGTTGATCGCGAAATGTCTTCAAAGGCAAACTGTAACTCATCTATGAAAAAACTCCTTCCCATGTGCGAGGCGAGGGCACGCAACTGCTGTAGCATGCCACTTTCTCTGTTCAAAGGTGCACGGGGACGAGGTTGCAGGGTAGTGGACCCATGTGTATGCTCCCAAGCGCCCGCGCTATCCTCATAGTGCAGCACATGCACTGATTCAGGATCCGCAGCGAATTACGCACTCAGCGGTAGAGAACAACCGCAAGTGTGAGAACGCAGAAAAGGAGTGCATTTTTCATAGTTAGGCTTGTGGCTGACCGTGCGGTAGCGTGGCGGAAGTATGGAGAGGGCGCTGGTGGCGCAGTTTGTCGACGGGAGGGCATTTTGAACTTTTGCTACTTCCCATCGACGTGGCGGCCTATCTAGACAGCCTCTTCTCGAGTTGACAGGTTTTAACATGATGCTTGACTACCTTGTTCCAGCTTCACAAGAGTTCACAGGTTTCGCCAGAGTGAGACATGTAAACGGAACAGAGGAAGCAATGATAGTACAAATGCCCCCTCGTCGACAAACAGCGCCGGGCGCTGGTATCACTACCCTCCAGCCCCGTCCACTGTGCACTTTTGACCGGGGAAAGTAGCACACTACTGCAGTTACGGACCCGTTCTCCCCGCAAACGGCAAGGACCAGGATCCACGGAGGTGTGTGTATAGTTTGCCTTTGAGACGTATGCACTGAAAACCTCACCAACAGACCGCAAAAGGCGAGAATTTCAAGGATATATAATTCCTCGAACATGTAGAGCGACTCGGTCTCCCTCATTTCAACTACTGGTTCGTCCACGACAGTTAAAGTTTTTTTAAATACTGTGAAATGAAGGTGAAATGATTCACCAGCGCAGGTCGTCCCATAATTCTTCTCCAATTTTCAACACTTTTGTATACCGAATTTTCTCTCTTCCAGTGAACACTCAGCCAACAGTATAATCAGCAGTAGAATCGCTGATATTCGGCTATTCACGTGAAAATGCGTAGGTGCGTTTGTCACAGAATGTGGAAAGCTCGCGATCAAAGAATTTGAAGAAGTCGTTTCTGACTGTGATTATTTTCTTCTCCCACCACGCGTTGGTCAGGACGGAGAACAGATGGCAGCCCAGGTGGAAGGTGGAGAAATACAAGCTACAAAAAGGATGCTTCACTGCTCCACTCTTATGGCAAGTCATTTTTCCAATATGAGGTCGAGCACCGCCCCGGGAAAGAACGACACACATTCTTCACAACTTAGCAAATAGGGGTTTCAAACAATTTCGGGCTAAAAACGTCGTTACTTATAGATCAACCCAGTACTTCCCACACCATGTTCACTACAAGAGCGCTCTCACAGTCGTGTTCCTTCAGTACCCTATTGCT